TTGGTGAGTTGCTTTCTTTCACTTTTCATTATATCATTTTAAAATTAATTCCACTGCACTCTTATTTATCCCAGTCTTGCCACATTTATGTTGCTATTTACATTGAAAAGAATATAAACAAATAGTTTTCATCACAGCTCCTCTATTGGAGTATCCATTTTATTTCCCCAAAGTGTCAGTTACCATGGTAGAATTGGTTCAGAGGTCACCCTTACTGAGTTGGAACAGAAGGAGGCATTGATAAGGAGATAGAAAGGGTGAGAGGAGAGATCAGAAGGAAGGGTAACATTCAATTTGAAATGGAATTGACGAGGGAAGTTCTTGGAAAAATCTTTGAAAATACATGGTAAGATTTGTTTATGTCATAAACTTTATGAACCTGCTTTTGCCTATATGCCTGCTTCCTCAAATTTAAATCACTGTGATCATTTTAGAATGCTGTTGATCGCTTTCATAAATTTAAGATTATTATTCTCAATGATCAAGACTCATTCCAAATTACATCATTTGATTTTAAGTGGTGCAAAGATACATTTGGAGTACCGTTGAATGCAGTAATCAGTATGAAAATTTTCGGGTAGGGTTTTCCATGTGACTATTAATTTTTTTCTGAATTATTGTTTCCAGAAGTTTCCCAATCACTGATGTTAAATTGACTGGTCTGTAGTTGCTTGGAATCTCCTTACAAGGAGATTTTATCGAAATAAACTTATCATGTTTGTAATGCACCTGTCCTCTGTCTGGCACCACCTTGAAGAAATTATTGGCAGTGCCTCTGCAATTTCCATTCTCAATTCCCGAAGCATCCTTGGATGCATTTAATCTGGTCCTGTTACCTTGTGAAATGTAAGCACAAATAGCCTATCCCATACTTAACCTTTATAATTTTTAACCCTACTAGTGACTGAATTTCACCATGGCCTGGGTAGCATCTTCCTCCTTTGTAAAGAGGGCTGCAAAAATGTGCTTAATGCTTTAACCATGCTGTCTGCCTTCATCTGTAAATCCTCTTTTTGGACCCTAATCAGAACCATTTCTCCTTTTACCGCCCTTCTACTATTTGCATGCTAATAGAAAATGCTGGAATTCCCTTTTTACGTTAGCTAACAGTATCTTTTTGTACTCCCTCTTTGCTTCTTTTGCTTGCTTTTTCATCAACACTATGAACCCTTTTATATTCAGTCTGGTTTTCAATTATACATTGTACCTGTCATCTGAGATAAACATTTTTTTTTCTTCTTTATCATAATTTCTACTGCTTTTGGCATTCAGGAGCTCTGGAATGGTTAGCCCTACCTTTCACTCAAGGGAATACACCTCAACTGTGCCCAAACCATCTCTTCTTTGAAGGTACAGTTGTTCAGCTATAGTTTTTCCTGCTCACCTAACTTGAGTTTATTTAAATCAGATCCATTTTTAATCTGTCAAAGTTGTCTTTCCCCAGTTAATTATTTTTATGCTGTATTGTTTATTATCATTTCCACAGTCACCCTAAACCTTATGTTACAATGATTACTATCCCTCAAATGTTCTAGTTTGATCTAGTTGATCTGCTACATTCTCAACAAACAGGTCTAGCAGTGCCTCCTTTCTCATTGGACTTACAACACTGCAGTAGAAAATTCTTCTGAATACACTTAGAACTCTTGCCTCTTTCTGAACTTTATACCACTACTATCCCAGTCTACTTTTGGATAATTAAAGTACCCTATAACTGCTCAATAATTTTGCACTCCTCTGTAATCCCCTTGCAAAGTTGTTTATCTACATTCTTCCCATTAGTTAGTGGTCTGCAGAGAACACCCAACAATATAATTACACTTTTTTTTGTAATTTAGCTCTTGATACATATCTGTGGCCAGAGAAGCATTTGCCTGTTCCCATTACTATCAAATTACCTATCACTATGGCCCTTACTGTCATCCTTGTAACTCCTGTGCAGTTGAGCCACCTGTGGTGCCATGAGCTTGACTTTAATGGCACTCCCCAGATGAACTATCACTTCTGAACATATTCAGAACAGACTACTGGTTGGAGAGTGGAATGCACTCTCAACTCCTGTATTACCAGGCTGTTCCTTTTTGACCAACTGGTCACCCATTTCATCTATCCCTGTATACTTGTAAGTTTTGGAGTGACCACATTAATAAACTTGCAATCTGCATAATTTTGAGCTTTATGGATGCACTGCAATGAATCCAGCTATTGGTAAAGATCTGAAATTATGAGCTCCACCTACTGCAACTGACAACACTTTCTGCACAAATGGTGATCCAGGATATGGGAAACATTGTGGATATCACCCATTGTACAGGACATCCTTTCTTAAGGTTGAAACAGCTTTGCCATTCCTTTATTTATTAGTTAACCTTGCTAGTGCTGAAAAAAAACTTAGCAAGTAATTACAATCTACAGCTATTATTACTAGTACTGATATTACTTCACACACATTTCTAGTTATAATAACTGTATTTAAAGACTTTCTCCTTGACCACTAAATTCCCATATGAACCAAATTTGCTACTAAACTCGGTCTACGTTTCATTGTCACATTTCCTGATTGTGTGCCCCTTACTAACTGTTCAACTTAAAAACTGATAGTTCAGTTTCCTGTATAATAATTATAATAATTAGCACTGATTGACAGATAACCACCACTACCAAACAGCTCCCTGTTTAGGAAGCAATTCAACTTACTTGAATATTGTTAATTCTATGTCGTTCTCACTCTTAAACCATGATTAAACTTGAGAAAAGCCGAACTTAACACATGAACCAATCTTACTACTATATTCTATTCTTATCTTACCCAAGCGTAGACGTGTGACCGTGTGCCCTTACATAATACTGAGTGGTTGCTAGATCTGTCTTTGGAAAGATTGAGGGGCATTAAAGCAAAAGATACAATTATCTGATTCAGAACATATATTACATCACTGGGATACAGTATTGTACTGTTGGATTTAGGGCAGTACATGTAACCTCCCATAACAATTAAGACAATAACCATTCCTTTAAGTGGACTGAAAGAATCTGAGATGGTACTGAAGGGTAATCTCAATTTCAAATGTATGGTAAATGTGAAATTTTGAAAGAAACATGGCTAGGTATTACAATTTAAATATTTGTAAGAGTACTGAAAAGATCAAATCAACTCAAACCGTATGTTAGAATATTACGCTATTAACATCAATTGCTCAGCATGCTAATAATTGATACAGTTGCATCCTTCATTTATTTATGTTCACAAATGACACTAATTTAAAAAAAACACTAAAACACTTTTTTTAAATGATATATATTTATTTATCATTGAGTACTATATGTAAAAGAAAGACAGCCTAAAGAAACACTACACAGACCATTTATAATGAATTTAGTCCTGCTTGCTCTTCTTGAAAAGCATAGGTTTAAGAGAATTTCTCCTCTAAATTAAGTAAGTACAAATTAAAATACTTTGATCTGGCAAAATGAAACTATTTAATTTCAATAAATATTCAATATCAGCACCATGCAGAGTGAACTTTCCCAATTTCAACAGAGATTACAGAAGGAAATTCTGGTTTAAATACCTATTTAAAATTCTCAGATGTTGGAATCAAGTAAATATCTGTAAAACAGAATCGGACAGCTAAGTTTGTTGCTTGTTGTCTTTTCTGTGGTAAATACGTATGATGCACCTATGAGACACTGTCATGATTTCATCTTGAGTGGATCATTGCTGAAATGGTAGCATCACTATATTACATCTTCTGTAGGATTAATACCTTTTTCAAAGTAAGTGATGAGCACTATCACTTCTTTGCTGACTGTGAAATCTACACCATTATATTAAATAATACATTAAGGTTACATACAAGCATGACAATATTCTTCAGTGTTGTCCACAGAATTAAGTCTAGATTAGAAAGGAGATTTCAATTCTTTATTTTTCTTCAGATTTCATTCAATCTGCTTGAACATCCTGGAGTTACCATTGACCAGAGACTGAACTAGACTAACTGCATAAATACTGTGGCTACAGAGAAAGTCAGAGGCTAGGAATTCTGTGGTATGTAACTAATGTCCAGTCACCCCAATGCTTGTCCACCTACAAGACATAAAACGGGCATGAAATGGAATACTTTCAATTTGGCTGGATGATTGCAGCTCCAAGAAGACTAAAGAAAAGCTTGAAGAAAACCATCATAAAGCAGCCCACTATATTGGCAGCCCAAGTGACACCTTCAACACCGTTTGACAATGGCAGCAGTGTGTGTCATCTACAGGATAACTCAGCAAGCCTCGTCTGACAGCACCTTCCAAACTTGTGACCAGTACCACCTAGAAGGAGAGGGGCAGCAGATGCTTGGGAACATCATCACAAGCTGCAAGTTCCTTTCCAGGCCCAGACCATCCTGACTTGGAACTATATCACTTTCCCTTCACCAGTCACTGGGTCAAAACCCTGGAACTCCCTTCCTAACAGCACTGTGGAGGTCCCTACAACCAATGACTGCAGTGGTTTAAGAAGGCACCTCACCAGCATCTTCTCCAGGGTAATGGGATAGGCAATGAATGCTGACCTAACCAGTGATGCCCTGATCCCATGGACAACGAAACGAAAGGTAATAAGCCTTTGGCATTTCACACTGGGTGAACCACGCTAACATCCAGTTACCAAGGATTAGTCTCAGACTCATGAACAAAATAAGCAACTGCTACCTGTCTAACGTTCAAGAATAAGAAAACAGAATTTATCAAATAACATTGTTTCCCGAAACTTACCACTGCTTTTGAAAAGACAGAAATTGTTTGTGTGCTCTTTATTGTTGCATGGTCCATTTTCTTTATCTTCCAAAATTAGGTCATCATACTGCTCTTCAGGGAAGGCAGTAGGTTGTATAGTTATCTTCTGATGGGGCAAAATCACTACCCTGAAACTACACAACCTACTACCTCACTCTGGCAGAACATTGAGATATTGTCATGGCTGATTCAGTAATGCTTGAAGCCAAATGTACAGTAAATTAAAAAGTTGCATTGTATTTTACATGTAACATTTAGGAAAACTTAGATGCATCAACATATTAGTTGCCCTCCGATAAGATCTAAACTGAAGGATGAAAATTTGTCTCAGCTGATTTCTGTGGAGAGGAAGGAAAACATGAGTTGGTGATCATATACTAGCAGCAACTCTCAGAAGTATAGGACCCTGGAGGAGCAATTTTTTCCTCACTTGGCTTCAGGGAAGGGTATGGTTTTTAAAAAAAAAATACTTACCCTTACTGCCTTTTTAGGGGCCAAAAAAACTGAGCAACCAACCATTACTAGTTATATTATTAGGCATGATTAGGTATTAGTCTGGATTCAAATGCTAATGAAGATTTCATTCATATTTCCAATTGCAAAGAATCAGAGAAGTGTTGATAATTATAGGATTAATATAACATGCAGATAGATCAAATTCTGGAAATATTAATCTCTGCTGTAGTTTTTTGATACATAAATCATGTGAGTACATTACTAAGTCACTACCTTCCACATCCATCATTAACTATTACCTGAAAACCAAAAAAGAGCTACATTCATTAAATCATACTTATTGTAAGATCTTTGTTTGATAGCAGAACTTAAATCATTCTTTTGTTTTCAAAATAATTCAAAATCCAGATAACTAAAACAATTGTGTAGTTTTCAGCTGATCCATCGGAGTTTTGACAGCCACCTCAGGAAAGACAGTAGATTGTATAGTTATCTGACTGGAAGGGTGTAACCCTAAAACTATACAACCTACTACCTCATCCCAAAGGACAGTAATATTCCATTGCAACATCCAAGGAGGAAAGTGGTGTTCTTTCAATATATGTACCTGCATAGAAGGGAACAATAAAAGGAAACCAAAATTTGAAAGTGCAATCCACGTCAATAGATTTTTCCGAGGTTGTTGACTTGCTCGCTGAGCTGGCTTGTTTTTGTTCAGACGTTTCACCACCGTGCTAGGTGACATCATCAGTGGAGCCTCCGATGAAGCGATGTTATTCTACTCTGCTCAGAATTTATACTGTCCGGTCCATTATGGTGAGTACTGTCATTTCCAGTTTTGATCTGTATGGGTTTGTATATGGGGTCCAATTCTATACGTTTGTTGATTGAAGTATGAGTGGAGAACCATTCCTCTAGGAATTCCCATGCGTGTCTATGTTTGGCTTGGGCTACAATATAGACACGTATATATAAACCCATAAAGATCAAAATCGGAAATGACAGTACTCATCACAACGGACTGGACAGTATAAATTCTGAGCGGAATAGAATAACATCGCTTCATCAGAGGCTCCACTGATGATGTCACCTAGCATGGTGATGAAATGTCTGAACTAAAACAAGCCAGCTCAGCGAGTAAGTCAACAACCTCATCCACAACATGAAATACAGATCTTTGCCAAAACCTTTGATAGATTTTTCTTATTTTGGTCAATTCAAAACAAATAATTAAGCAGATGGAGTTTAATTTAGGCAGACCAGGGCAGGACTAATACAGTAGGGCCCTGGGGTGTATTGCTGAACAAAGAGACCTAGGGGTTCAGGTGCATACCTCCTTGAAATTTGAGTCACAGATAGACAGAGTGGTGAAGAAGGCGTTTGGCATGTTTGCCTTCATTAGTCAGTGCATTGAGTATAGGAGTTGAGATGTCATGTTCCAGCTGTACAGGACATTGGTGAGGCCACTTCTGGAATACGGCATTCAATTCTGGTCTCCCTGCAATAGGAAAGATGTTAAACTTGAAAAGGTTCAGAGAAGATTTACAAAGACATTGCTGGGGTTGGAGAATTTGAGTTACAGGGAGAGGCTGAAGAGGCTGAGGTTTTTTTCCCTGGAGCATTGGAGGCTGAGGGGTGACCTTATAGAGGTTTATAAAATCATGAGGGGAATGGATAGAATGAATAGCCAAGGTCTTTTTCCCAAGGTAGGGGAATCCAAACTAGAGGGCATAAGTTTAAGATGAGAAGGAAAATATTTGAAGGGGACCTAAGGGACAGCTTTTCCACACAGAGGGTGGTGCCTATATGGAACATGCTGCCTAGCTGGTGGTGGAGGTTGGTTCAGTTATGACATTTAAAAGGCATCTGGACGGGTACATGAATAAGAAGGGTTTAAGAGAGATACAGGCCAAATGCTGGCAAATGGGACTAGATCAGTTTAGGATATCTGGTCAGTATGGACAATTTAGACTGAAGCGCGTTTTTCTGTACTTTATAACTCTATGACTCTATTGATAAGGGTATATATTTGTACGTGTCATAAGCAGCACAATAAAGAAGTGACAACCATAATGATACCAATCTGTCTATCACAATTTGAATGCTAACACTAACACTTCATTAGAATACAGCATCTAATATTGCATTTGCTTGATTACAAGTCATAACAATGTGTTTGGCAGATTATCATTGGACATTTATACTAATCAAACACCTGATCAGTATGATAGCCTCTCTGGGAGGGATCTGTGAGCAGGTCAAGCAGCAGGGAGACTCTTTAACTGATCATATTGAAGAGTTCTCACTGAGAAAAACAGACTGCGCAGCAGGAACCTTTTTTTAAAAAAAGAGCAGGAAATGTAACTTTTAAATCCTTGCATCGGAAGCAAAAGAAAGCTTGGGACATATAAATGGGATTGAGGAACAAAGATGAAAGAAACAAAACCTAAAAAGAATCACATTTTAGTTTAGAAACTGCAACTTCTGGATTTCCATGTTTAACTGCACTTATGCAGTTATCCCAGACTGCTGCTTCCTTTACTATTGCAAATGCAGCAAAATCTTAGCCACTGTCTCTACAGTAACAAAAACAGGCAGCTTTACCAAACTATTGAAATTCACTGAAATACTCATCAGCATGTACCTCTATAACAACATGGAAATATTTAAACCTGTTGAGACTCATTATCATTTATAGTGAGTGTTACTCACATTTGCTTATAAAAGTGATCTATTTTAAAGTACTTCACTTCTAAAAGTACAGTTGCATTTTGACTGGATTTGTTTTCTGTAACACTCATTCATTTCACTACTATATTTTCCTAATGTTGGATCTCCACTACCCACTTTAAACAAGTGGATGCTAATTATCTCTTTGGAAGTTAAGCTAACATGCCTCCTCAAGTGAAAAATAATGTAAATGCGAATATTTCTGATCTCATTTCTAAAATAGCATCATTTGAATTGATCAGATCACCAATTTTAAATATGCACCATTAACCCCATAGCAAAGTATGTGTTAAGTCCTTGAGTTACTAGGTGAAATGTGTTAGTAGATAGGAATGCAAAAAAGCAGTGAGAGAAGGGCTAGATTCCTGCTCATGCCAATATAAGAACAGGAATAGAAAAAACTTGGAATTGAGTTGTCTGCTGTAGTAAAGGACTGGGGCACACAGCATATGGAGGTTGGAAGAAAAAGGATAAAGCATACCAATCAAGAATGGGAAGAAATGGAGGTGGAGACTTTTTGCATAGATGGTTGTCAGGGTCGTCCAGACACAATTCAAGTGCCTCCACTTAACTGTCACAATCAAAAATTGGCAGTGGTGGTGATCAAAGAGAAGTAAGTCTAGGTATTCATGTACTTCCAAATACAGGATATTGCAAAGTATGGATGGGTTTACAACAAAAAAGAGAAATAGAACAATATCATGTTGATTGTTAAAAATGCCAACCTGTGATGCTCTTTGCTCTCGAAACTTTTGCTTGACCTCTTGTTGGCAGAATTTCCTACAAGTATAAGGAAAACAAAAGTAATACTTAATGCCAGACAATACTTAATTTCAAACAATGTTAGGAAATAATGCACATAAACTGTAATATTAGAAACACCTAGTGCTATTAAATATAATGATCATTCTGTACCACATTACAGAAATATCTGCCGCACCACTGCTAGTGTTTAATTCACCAATATCCATGTATTGTTCCAACTGCTGAGTTGGTTTATCATGGATTGGGTAAAGTTAAAAAGCTATGTTATTGTTCACTATTATGTTTGTTGAAGACAATATTGAAACTACTCCATACCCCTAGATATGGAGAAATTAAATACTATCCTAACTGAAAGTAACAGCAAATTATGAGGTTGCTTTTTTGTGGTGGTGGGAGGAATGCTGGGCAAAGACTTCATGCCTTCACTCATCTGCAACAGAGTAATCTAATCCCCCCAAATGAGACAAGGCTATATTTGATTTGATTACTAAAAGGTGTGTGAAACTGATGCAGAACAACTCTCTTCAATATGTCTCCATCATTCCTTCATATAGATCTCATGCTACATGACCTATCCGAGACTGGAGACAATGGCAAATGGAAGTATATGATAATTCATGTCTTATAGACACAAACCACAGTGAACTGAGATCTAACACACTCCATAAAATATCAACTTTATATTCATAAATTTATATGCCCATTTATATCAAAAAAACTCCCTTCTCTGATAAGCAAGAAAGAATTGGAGGTCAATAGACATCAGAACAGGGCAGTGAAAAATTCTTCCCTATTGCACCAACTGAATATGTTAAAGGAGTACTGTCTTTATGCAAACGTACCTGCTAAGGTTTTTCTCCTGTTTGAAAATGGAGCCTTAAGACCCACTTCCATGATGAAAATATCACTTGTAAGTAGCACAATGATACATTTCAACAGTAACCAAGAGTTTTTGCTTTGTGTGTAACTTGTGATGTGGTTGCAAATTGCACCAGTTTTGTGATTCTTTTTGCTCAAGTTTCCACTTAAAGCATTCTCATATCATTGTTAACAATTAGTGAATTTGTGGATATTCCCAGATTTTTTGGTAGTCCCAGTTTCTTGTATAAGTTTGTTAAAATAGCACAATAGATTACAGAAATTTGATTTTCCCTGGACCTACTGCGCAGTTAAAATTCTTTGATATTTTGCACTTGTTTTATTGGTTTTGGAAAAATCGCTGTGAAAACTAGCCTCATGGAAACTCCAGGCTGCCTGGTTATCAGATTTGCTATATATTCTTTAATGGAGGAAAAAAAAGGCTTGCCTAAAATTTAAAATTATAAATCATATTTTTACTCATCTTTGTACAGTATCAAAAATCTGCATCACTTCATTAAATTTGCAATTCACATCCACAGAATTGCACTTTTTTTAAACTTTGAGGTTTTTTTGCATGTTTGTTTAATAAATCAACAAAAAAACAATTTGACTTATGCTTTCAGTATTTCAGGAAGGTTAACATTTGTTATGCCTACCATAATATCTGCTCTTCTCTAGTGAAGCGGACTTTCAAGTCTCTCTGACTAGCATTTTAAAAATATCAAAGATATCATTTAACAGAACCTGTTGAACAATGATTCCCGCTTTGATGTAAACTCTCCTCACAACTGGAACAGAAATTTTCCTGAAGCAAGAATCAGCCTCCTTGCAAATATTCATGCCATCGCCTTGCCTAAATCACTTTCTTTTGTCGGAATCCATTATTGCTGGCTTAATCCCTGTTTCTAATCTCACATTAAAATTTTGCATCTGATACAGTTATAAACATTGCCCAGTAATTATATAGTTTAAAAAAAAGAAGAAAAAACAACATAGTAGAAATTTACTTCAGTTGCTTTTGTCAGAAAGCGAGAATTTTTCTTGCATGTCAGTGCTGGCCATAATCCTACTAAAACAGTCTTCTGGCCTAGCTCTAGCAGGCCAACATTAATTTAAGTCTGAATGTTACATAAAATAACAGACAGATGGTTGAAGAAACATTGCAAAGGTGTACTACATCACTACTGTGATTTGATTTTAGTCTAATGTGTACATGATTGACTGGTTAGAGTTACTTATCAAACAGCTATGCCTTTCACTTAATATCCTAAAAAAAAGACAACGGACTGCATGCTATGCTTTAAAAAGTCCTATAGCATCTGTTTTATACAATAAATGTAATATTCCTTTTCATTATTCAGCTAAAGTCTCAATATTACTACTTGTAAATCCTGTGGCATATATGTGAATACTTGTTATTTTTATCCCCAATCCTGGTACTCATTCATTTTTATTCAGTTCTTACATTTCTATGTGTTATACAGAATAACATTCTGGACAGCGTTCCAAGGTAGTAAGATATGTCAGAATTGAAATGGAGTTGATGCATTGCAAGGTCATGCTTATCATAACTCCTGGATATATTATTACCATGTTACGCAAAGCTGTATGATATCTTACATAAAATCTGCATTTTGACAAAATGTATGATACCTTCTTACATTGTAACATTTGATGGGCTGCTTTTGTAAGATGTCAAGGATAAGCATGTGGTGATGTCAGTTTAAATTAAGAAGATGGGATAAACACAGTGTGCTTTTTGGTTAAAGTTACAGGCACATTTTTATATTGCAATTAATTAAATTTTGCATTATAAGTACTTTGAATGAAGCAGAAGCATTTTTTTTAGGAGTACTTTGTGGAATGCAGTTCAAGTTGAATAAGAGGGCATGAGTAGGGAGTTGTGATTCAATGCTTTTGAGACAAGGCAGATTCTTCAGTCAGCAGAAGTTCTATTTCTGTGATGATGATTTGGAAACCTGGGCTACAGTTTCCCTGTTACATGCTGTTGTGGCCACTCTGCTGACACATGGAATTGCTGTACTAAACTTGAAGATTTAATACTTCAACAAAGATTTCTCAAGTACAGTATTTTGCATAATTTATATTCTGATTGTTACATAGTAAGTTTTAGCTTGCTTTCAAATACCATAATACAATAGTGATTTATTTATTGAAACATCAAGTTGATCAGACAGGAGGCCAGCAACAGCCATGAGTAGATTGAAGGCCTTGAACTTATAGAACTTTTGCAATTATCATTGAGCCATTTAACATAAATCCATTAGGCACTGCACCAGTTGCATAACAAACTTTTCAGCATATACTAGTTTTATAACTATGGCTACATTTTTAGATCATATATCATAACATAAAAAATATTCACATTAATTTGGGTAAATAATTTTAAAAACGTAAAATAAATGTCAAAGTTAACAGCAGATTATAATTTTCAAATCTGTTTAATGGCTAGTTATCTATTCATATTTACCAAGCAATTCAACATAACTTTCCAATGGAGGATAAGACCATAGGAAATAGGAACAGGAGCAGGCTATTCAGCCCCTCGAGCCTTTCAACAGGATCATGGCTGATCCAAACTCCTCACATCCACTTTCATGTCCTTTTCCCATAAACCTCAGATTCTTGATCAGTAGTGGAATCATCTATCTCACCCTTAAATAAACTCAGTGGTGTGGTTCTACATAATTTTCACAGCTGCCTGTTCAGCCTGAGAAACACAAAGAATTACAGTGCAGAAGGAGGCCATTCAGCCCAACTTATCTATGCAGGGAATTGTAATGATTGGAACAAGGTTAGCCAGGTGGATTTCACAGAATATGAGTTGCCTTACTGGGGCTGTTAATCTGGTTCAATCAGGGAGCTGTGGCTGACAGATATAAACAGGAGTGTCAGGGATTCTGTACACTCCAGGAGCTAGCTGTGAGCTAGCTGGGTCAGTGTCATGTATTATGCACATATAAATAAAGAGTGACAGTGACGGGATACTGGCCTTCCTGGAGATAGTTCAGTGGCGACGAGAGAAAACATGGTCCTGAAGGGATTCGCTCACAGCTGACGTCTTTGAGTTGGCGTAAGCATTTCTGGCAACATGCTGCTATTTGGGAAGCTTGACTAGTTTGATCCTGCTATCGAAGACTGGGCCCAGTATGTGAAAAGAAAGCGTTATTTTTTCTGGGCAAATGGCACTGGGGCAGATGAAAAGCAACGAGTAAGTCACTCGGCAGCTAGTGGACCCACAGCTTTTTAGATTAATAGAAGTCTAACTTACCCTCAGACACCAGATACTAAAACCTTTCAAGAGTTGATGGATTTAGCTAAGGAATATTATGACCCCAAGCCTCCTCTAATTCTGAGACATTTTACTCAACAGTTCGAGAACCAGGAGAATCTGTATCAGGATTTTTGACAAGGTTAAGACAACTGGCAAAGACATGTGATTTTGCTTTAACCGTAAGTGAGATGCCTAGAGACTGTTTGGTATGTGGGAATTACAATGTGACCATGCAAAAGCTTCTACTAGCTGTAGCCCAAGTGGACTTCAGACAGGCACTGTAATGAGCTGTGGTATTAGAAAATGCGGCAATTGGGTCTTATGAATTCCGGTGTTTTCATACGGAATTGGACACCCTCACCCGTCCTACTGAGCTTGGGGAACATCACTTGAGTGAAGGCAATTGCCCTGCCTGCAAAAGTAGTAGACTCGCCAACTTTAAGGGCACTTAAATGGTCATTGGATAAACATATGGATGATAATGGAATAGTTTAGGTTAGATGGGCTTCAGATTGGTTTCACAGGTCGGCGCAACATTGAGGGCCGAAGGGCTTGTACTGCGCTGTAATGTTCTATGTTCTATGTTCTGAACAGAGGGACTGTAAGTCAGCTCACAGCAAAACCCAAAACAAAGGCAAGCCGCAGCCAAACGGTTAAAATTTTCTCAAGGATCTGGCCGGCAGGCCATTATAGTTGCTGCCGGTATGCGGATTCAAGACTGCAAAAGTGTCCCAGAATTGGGTAAGGGAACTCAGAGGCCGGTATCCAGGAGAGTGCACATGCTGGAAAGTCTATCTACGGCTGGTTTGGAACAGTTAAATTGCTTAGCAACATCCAAATCAGAACCAATCAAAATGGTTA